AGTTTGTAGTGATGTGACAATATATATATGATGAGTCGGTGAAACTCCGACGAAACAGTTTGTCACAGCCCCTCGTTTGTTGTCCTCTTCTCCCTCTCTGCCTACGGTTTACCGGGCAGTTCTATTTGACGATATATAGAGAGAGAGAGAGAGAAAGGTCTGTAGGGAGGAGTGCTGTCTAGAGAAGGGAGCACGCTTACCTTGTGGGTTGGAGAGAGAGAGAGAGAGAGAGAGAGAGAGAGAGAGAGAGAGAGAGAGAGAGAGAGAGAGAGAGAGAGAGAGGAGAAGGTCTGTAGGGAAAGACGAGGGAGCACGCTTACCTTGTGGGTTGCCAGCATGGGAGCCTCAGCTACACGCAGGCTTGTGGGAGCCTCAGCTATACACATTCTTTGATGAGAATGGGTGGAAAGTTGGAAACAGCAATTTGTTGAGCTGCACAGACGCACAGGGGAGGCTGAGCAAAATGGGTTACTGTAGGCTAGTAGTAGGACAAATGTGATCATAATGGTAGTGGATGGAGGAACGGACCGGCATTGGCCTTGGACTTCATTTTCGTTGTTGTTGATTGTGGAGTGAAGGGCGATTGTTTCTCTTCATCAAAAAGACTTCAGCATTGTTATTACTTCGTACACTTGTGGTCATTTTGTGTTGCTTCTGCTGATTTGCTTTGTCACTGACTGAGTGCACGTTGATGAGAACACAACGAGCTTCTCCAACAGCAATCCGTGGACTCGTTAACAAATATGTTTTCGTTACGCAGGGATGAATAGGTTGAAGGAGTATTTGGCACTGGCTTTCTCTCACTCTGTGTTCCTTGAAGATTGCAATTGTGATGGGGAATATTGGTGTCCAACGCACTCATGTCAAAGTCGCTGTGTTGCAGGAAAGGATGAGACATTGAGAACGCAGTTTTTTTCTTCAAAACAACTCTGGTCGTGCCTTCTTGTGCGGACTCTCTGTGCTTTGCTCTTGTGAGAGAAATTAAGAAACCATCTCCTGACATTCAAAGGATGGGATGAACTGTGGCAGTAGAGGGAGGGAGATGGTTTTCAGAACTCGTGTACATCCTGTCCGTTTCCTATTTGAGCAAACCGCATCTCCCAATACTTTTCTGTGGTTCTACATTCACTCCAGCTTCTTTTAGTGGAGAGTTGTTGTGGTGTGTCTCTATTGTGGTGTGTCCCAATACTTTTCCCGATACTCTTCATCTGCAGGATCTGAATTCGAACTTGTCTGTATTTGAACAGTTCAGGGGTGTACCGACTGAGCTAGGCCCGTTGGTTTTGTGGTGTCTTTGTAATTTCTTATGTACTTCAATTTCTTTATTTGTTTTGCCAGGGTGGAGGCATTTGACAACAGCGAACAGGGGGAGTTCACACGGAAGATTCTGCAAGCGTACAGAGATGGTGATGCTGAGGAGGTGAAGTACATTATCAGCAAGAGCAAACATGTCGTTGAGCAGCTTGACCACATGGTAAGCATAAGGCACAATGGATAGATCCCTATTCCTTTTTGGGACGTCCCGATCATATACACCTGCAATGAACCATCATGACGTTGCACAGATTGTTGTCTCTTAGGCATGGCAATATTGGAGTGCTCAACTGACAATACGGAAATATACGTTGGTCTAATTGAAAATAGAAAATTGCGTACAGATTCTACAGAAGCAGATACAGATCACCTGATTTATCACGATAACTTCGACAAAATAATTAAGTACAGAAATTAGATGGACTGCACGTTGAAGGGAGTCTGCATCTGCAATTCTCACGGAAACCTCCTCCTGGCCACCTTAGTCTTCAAATATCTATATCATCCTGAAGGAAGCACTTTATGCATAGGTGGGCTTCATTTTTTTCCCTCACCCTTAACCCGAGCCACCCAGTTTGTTTTTGGTTCAACCCACCCTCGCCCAAGCGTTTTATTATCCGCCTCAAGCCAATCTGAAGTTTCAGCACGATGCCGGAACCGGCCAGACCAGACTTGCGGCGCACTGCTGTGCTGCAGCATCCGCTGCGCCGTGCCCCCCTGTGAGCGCAGAGCTGTGCGGTGCGTGTGCATCACTGCGCACTGCACGATGTGTGCTGTGCTGCACGGGTCCAAGATGCATGCTACGCTGGTGCTTGGGTAGGTGCATGAAACAAGCTCATCCGCATGCATGGTGTGTGCAGTTGTTTTTTCTTAAGGGGGAGGTGTGGTTGGCGGGGCGGTTGTACAGGCTTATGGGCGATTTAAAGCCTGCTGCAATCAGACTCGCTTTCTTTTCCACTCCGCACTCATGCAAACAGATGGTGAGTCACACTGGCGCACAGCGCCCACTCAAAGCTCAGAGATATGGAAGTCGAAAACACAGTTCAGATACAAGCTCGCTCCAACGGGCTATGGCGCATATGCGCCTGTACACCGCAACTCTCGTCTCTCTGTCCGACACCACTGTTCGCACTCACTCAACTCTGGATCACCCTGGATATCCTACACGCATACACACACTCCCGTACTCATACACTCGCCTATCAGCTATGGCGGCTATGGCCGCTGTCCCTCTATGGCTATGGCTAWCTATCTCCTTCAGCCCACTTCGTCTTCGGGCACTCTGCAGACCACCTCGCACGAGTTGCTCAAGCAGCGCTTCCGCATGGCTTACGCAGGAACGAATGAATGGCTGGGCGCTGCCTCTTGATTTATACTTCTGTAACTCGTTGGTCTGCCCCTTTCCCATGCCCTTGGTGCACACAGTCCCACACGGTACTTGCTTGACTGGACTGTGACTGACTGGGACCGGTACCGCCGACTGCATGGGTTTGCACTGCCAACTCGATGCAGCCGCACTGCCAACGTAATGCAGTTGGGCTCACCACTTGCCCACTTGCCTCTGTCCAAACGTGAGACAACTTCAAAAGGCCACTTCCGGACCTTTCAGAAGTCTGTGGGCTTTGGCCTTTCGAACACTGTAGCAGCTACGACCTAGTCCTTTCAAGACTGTAGCGGCTACGACCTTGACCCTTCAGAACTACTACAGCTACGACCTCTAGAATTCACTAAGACCTCTATTCAACAGGACTACAGATCGAACCCCTCCTTCAGAACTACTACAGCTACGACCTCTAGAACTCACTAAGACCTCTATTCAACAGGACTACAGATCGAACCTCTACAGCCTACGGACCTACGACAGCCTACCAACTGTTGCGAATACACAGGTCACGGGTTCAACTCTCGGGGTCGACACAGGTACTGTACACAGGTAAGGTAAGAACTAGGGATCGAGCCCTGGGATCTGCATTCGCTACGGCTAACAGGTGAATACCGTTTCACTCCCGGCGGCCTAAATTCGAGGTCCTCCGAGAATAATTCAGTCCAAGACCGGATTTTTTCCCTTTCCTTTCTTTCTCGTAGGCTCTAACTACGTCGGGAGCTGTTTCTAGAAGTTCAGTTCTAGTAAACCAGCAGTCGTCCTCGGGTTCCTGATAAGCAAATCGGACCTTATACTGTTTCTGTGGACGACCTCTACCTCCTGTTCTGAATACGTCTTCACCTACAATGCCCTCAATGTTATATCTTTCATCCATTTCCGGAGGGATCATGGATCTTCTTGATGGAAACTGTTGACTTGTGGCACCGGACAACAACTTTGACGCATGGAACACAGGGTAGGTGTGGAGGTGTGCTGGGATCTCTATTGTATAGGACGGCCCATCCTCTCCGCCCTTAACCTCTAGAACTCGACATGGTCCCCTGTACGCTGGCAGTAACTTCTGCGAAATGTTTTCCTCAGGAGCAAACTCTTTGGACTTGACCCAGACTAGGTCGCCTTCTTGAAACTGCGACGGGCGTCGGTGCTTGTTAGCCTGCTCTATCATTCGGTGTTGGGCCTTCCTGAGGTTCTCAACAACGGTAGCTAACTCCTTTTCGTGCTGTATCGCAAACTCCCTAGTACCGGGCGGTAGCCTATGAATCTGGTCCCGGTTAAGTCCTTCAAACGGTCTGCGTGGTCTAAAGGACTTATGCAGCTCATTGGGAGTACGRCAAGTGGCTAAGTGCACGCTATTGTTATATGCACTGGCTACCTTGGGCAACATCTCGTCCCAATTGACTTGATTTGGTCTAATGTACATGCGCAAAACTTGCTGCAGGATCTTATTCATCTTCTCGGTCTAACCGTTAGTCTCTGGGTGACGGCCAGACGGCATTAACAACTTTGACCCGTATACTTTCATTAACTCCTGCCAGTTCGGACTTGTAAACCGGGTATCTCTGTCACTGACTATGGACAGTGGGATCCCGTGATCACTAACCCAAAAGTCAAAAAACTTTTGAATTGCTAACTATGTACGGGCTTCTGCGGGTAAGGGAACAAAAACAACATATTTGCTAAATCTATCCACTATTACCATGACTTGGCTCTTTCCATGCCTACTTTTGACACTAGCATCCATGAAATCAATGGATCCTGAATCACTTGGTTGATCAGGTATAGGCAAGGGTCGAAGAAGACCTAGAGGGGCACGCTTAGTTGTCTTATTCCTCTGACAGACTTTGCAACTGCGAACGTACTCTATGCAGTCGGCTTTCATTCCTGGCCAAGTATACGCATGCATCAGATTGGCTAGAGTATTTTGCCAACCGAAATGTCCCTCTGTGTCGTGGCATTCCCCTAGGATCAAACTACGATCTCTTCACTATTAGGGACGCACAGACGGTCTACTACGTGGGTCTTCTCGGACAGTCATCCCTCTGTAGTGCGGTAATCTGGTTCAGTCTTTGGGGTCTCCTTAACTTTCTTAAGAAGGTCGCTATAAATAGGGTCCTGCGCATACGCGTCTTACTTCTCTTGCAGGTCTCTCCCTATATCCAGATAGTGAACTATAGCTCCAAAGTAATCTGATCTCCTACTTAGAGCATCCACAACTACATTATACTTGCCCTTGACTGGTTTGAGCTCAAAGTCATACTGGTCTATCTCAGCGGCCCACCTAGTTAGCTTAGGTGTCATCTTGGCCTGAGTTTTCAGCCACCTAAGAGTTTCGTGGTCTAAATAAACTTTGAAGTGCCTCCCAAGCAAGTAATGCTTCCAGTGCTCTAAGGCCTGCCTGAGAGCGTAGAGTTCTCTCTCGTAAGTCGAGGTAGCTACTTTCTCTGAAGGCATCCTCGCTGACATAAACTCTACGGGTCTATGGTCATTGCTGTCATCCTGCTGCAACACCACGCCTATACCATACTGACTTGCGTCCGTGGTGACGACAAATGGCAAGGACGGATCTGCCACCTTGAGGGCAAGGTTCTCTATCCGCTCGCTTTAACTTCTTAAACCACCAGTTCACAGACCCCTACTGTTCACCAAAACGCAGTACACTGCGACCGGAGCAAGTGAACAGTGATCCGGCATGGCACAGGTTCGGAAGGAAAAGGCTGGTGGGCCTAAAAAGAATGGATTGAAAGCGCAATCGGGAAAAAAAAAAAAAAAAAAAAAAAAAAAAAGAGAAAACATTGGGCAGTCTGGGCAGACGTCCTGGCTTGCTGGCAGGACACTAATCTTATAAAGAAACAAAACCTAAAGAAACGAAAGGAAAACAAAGATAGATTTGGACGTCATATGCATCCGATACATTCTCGATAGTAGTGTGAGTATGCCTTGAGTGAGGGCATTCCCGGGAATGTAAATAGGGAAAAGAAATAAAAAAGGAATGAAAGATATGGCCATGATAGCGGTCAAATACAGTCATGGCAGCACTAGTGTCAGTATGCCCTCAGTGAGGACCTTTCCTGAGGTGGTGGAAAACGCCTTGCCTCTGGCAGGGCAATACAAGAAAGAGGGGGGGGGGGGGGGGGGGGGGGGGGGGGAGGGGAAGATAATGATTTGGTCGTGATAGTGGTCAGATACATTCTGGACAGTACCCCTTTGAGTATGTCCTAGGCCAGATGGCTTCCCCATATCTCTTTTCTGTTTCTTTCATGGAAGGGCAATGACCTTTGTTCATCATTGATCTGGATTTAGGTTTTTTTTTTGTTTTTTTTTTTGCTTGTCTTTTTGGTGCCATCTGCTGGCACGAGGTACAACACTTGAGTTTCAAGGTCGGCTGGTACCCGTACCCCGAGATTTTCTTTTCAGCCTGTTACTGTAGCAGTCAGGCTCGGAAACGTACAACTTTTGGTTTGTCAATTTAGCTTCGTGTGAACTGGTGGTTTAAGAGCGGATGTACAATCTTTGTCCCACTTCCAGATTGCATCCTTCTTGAGCAACCTGCGAAGGGGAGCGGCGATGGTGGAAAAGTTCCTCACAAACTTCCTATAATAATTAGCTAGGCCTAAGAACGACCGCAATTCTGTCATTGTGCGGGGCGTCGGCCAATCTCTAATCGCCACTATCTTGCTATCCTCAAGCTTAATGCCATCTCCTTCTAAGACGTGGCCCAAGTACAAGACTTGTGTCTTGGCCCACTCACACTTTTTCGCATTGATCTTGAAGTTAGT